CCAAAACTGTTACATAGCTTCAATGCAATCCCAATTGAAATTCCAACAGCATATTTCACAGAGATAGAGAAAAGAATCCAAAAATTCATTTGTTTAGATCTCTTTGGTTACAATCTGTCTCCGTGTGATGTGTCATTGTTTTGAGTTGTTTTTATATTTATATTCCTCTTCAGCATACTCAGTGTAATATTTGTGGGTCTAGCCACCATAAAGAGAGAAGATGAACCACAGTAATATTGATTACACAAAGACAGATCATATACATATTGGCATGCAGAAAAAAACAATAGCAGCAACTACTCCTCTATTTGCAATAGGAAAGAAATGGGTAATAATAATAGAGTCAGAGATAAATCTGACATATACAAACCAATAAAAGCTATACTTGTACCACCCTTATCAACAGAAAACATTTATGATGATATAGATACAAAGAGCCAATATTGACATACAGTAAATGTCTACTAAATTCAACAACTATACCACCATTAGCAATAGAAAAGAGTTCAGCAGTAAGAGCATTTAATCATCTCAATGGTTAAAAAAATCAATGAAGCTTAATTGGAATACTAATGAAAAAGAAGGGATATAGAAAGTGGAAAATAAAAGAAGTGACATTTGAGAAAAGGAAGATTGGAAGCAGGAGAAAAAAGTGAAATAATAGTTTGAAGAAGAAAAAGTAGAATTAGGTAAAAGTAAAAAAAGAACAAAAAGAAAAATATGGAAAAGCATAAAATAGCAAAAGAAAGAAAGGAGGAATAAAAAAACTGATTGAGTCCCCAAAATTCCTCTGTCTTTTCGGATGAGTGATTTCCTTCCAGGGGCCATTTTGTTGGAATCCATATATGGGAGAAGAATAATGAGTCACAACTAAGGCCTATTTTGTTTCTTTGCCCATTTTGTGTGTGTGTGTGTGTGTGTGTGTGTGTGTGTGAGTGTGTGTATACTGAGTCCTACTCTGCCTTTCCTGCTGTGAGGGGCCAATGAATGATATGGTTTCTGCCCTAGGGCTATATTCATCTCAGGGGCTTTCATGTCCATCCCCCTCTGTGTGCCCCATGTTGCTATCTCTGCCTGCCTCTGTGCCCTTTGAGCGTGTGATGTGCTCCTGGTGCCCCCTATTCGAGGCACTTGTCTCCTTATACATTTGGGGTGTGGAAACTACCAGAGCCCCCTTTTCCCTCTACTCCAGAGGGCTCTGGGTCCATATATCCCCAGGGTGTGTAACCATTGGAGGTCAGGCATATCCCTGGTAATGTTTTCAGGTGGGGAAAGCAAACAGCACCATGTTCTATACTGGTTGTAGGTAGTGAGAGGGCAAGTGAAGCAGTTCCCTGGACTTACAGTGTCATGATTTTTAGACCCAACCCCCTCAGAAAACCATTTGTGACCAGCTTGTCTTCTCTCTGCAGAGAGTAGGAGCACTGTGTCCTTTTTGACCTGAGCTCACTGCTGCTTAAATTTCTACGGGGGTTCTATGACTAGCCTCCCCGTCTCTGCAGCTGCCTCCTGTTGCCAACTCCCATGCAGTCACTGGTAGGGTGGCTCCAGAAATCCTAAAGTGTAGTTGTTCTGTAACTTCTGATTTCCAAAGTAGCCCAGTTTTAAACATTTAACCCTTCCCCAAATGACTCTTTAATTAATCACTCCCCGAATGGCTGGCTGGCCTTGTATGTCTTCTTCAGCTCTAACCTGCCATGCAGGAGTCACTTGGAGTAACTTTCTGGGTAAAACCCTATGCTGTATTTGTAGCTCACAACAATGATGGGCTTTTCTTGAAGTTAGCTCTGCCAGTTTGTAGTTTTTCCCCCGAGGCTGGTAACCTTCTCAGGCCTTACTTTGTGGACCCTGTGCCTGGGAGGCCACATTAGTGTTTCAGAGTGCTTTGTTCTTTCTTTCTGGGTTGTCTTTAGTTTCTCTGTAATATCTAGTTTTCTTGTCACTGTTTCCGGATTCCCAGACCACTTTTTCCTTTTCTCTTTACTAAGTTTTGCAAGTGTCTGGATTCCAGGTCCAAGAGAGGCTGTGAAATGTGCCAGTTTTCACTCTGCCATTTTCTCTCCTTTGGGGGGGAGGGGCACAGTACTGGGGATTGAACCTTGGGCCTTCACACTGTGCTACATCCCCAGCATCACTCCCCCCGCCCCTTTGAAACAAGGTCTTAGTTGCCCAAACTAGGCTCAAACTTTCAATCCTCCTGACTCAGCCTCCCAGTGCTGAGGATTATAGGTATGTGCAATCTTGCCCTGCTTGCATGTTGTTTTTGAATTATCATAAAGTTGAAAAATTGTTAACTTGAACCCTCCAAAGTCCATGACCTGTTTGTATTTTAAATAGCTGATTTAAATTTAAAGTTGAGTACCTATCCTCGGGTAGTTTTTATTGACCCCCTCCCCCCATTTCACATACTTTATCATTTCTTTGTATGTTTCTTAGTTTTTTTTCTTGAGAATGACACATTTTAAGTAAATGTGACAGCTCTGAAATCAGAACTGCAATCCATTCCATGCTTATTTGTTGCTGCTTCTAGTTTTTGTTCATTGATTACAGAACTAATTCTGTGTTCTTCGTATATGGCCCCTGAAGTTTCTCCTTAGTTTAGCGGTCAGCTAATGATTAGACAGATTTCCTTTAATGCCTGGAACCAGTAAATCTCCTACTCTTTGCCAAGTGACTGTGTGTTTGGGGCACACCTCCAATACTAAGCCAGGAAGTTTACAACTCTCCCTTAACCTTCATTTCCTGCTTGGGCATAGCTTCAAGGTCAAATAGAAGTGAGAGATAACACTATTTTTAGGTCTTTCCCAAACAGTGCATGACACTTTCTGTATGTATAGTGTTCTAATTTGCCAGAAATATGGCAAATATTTTCAGAGTCCCTATAGACACCTCATTCCCAAGCTTTTAATTTTAAGGTTTTTGGTTCAACTCTTATTTGTCCCAGCTGTTAAATCACACACATTGCCTCAGTATAAACATTTGCCTGTGATGGTTTCTTCAGACATTCCTTCCTTCAGCCTCCTGCTCTGAGGTGAACTCTTTCAGCATTGGATAAGAGTCAGAGAGTCACCACCCAGGTCAGATAATGATTATTCATTGGGAATGAGGCTTTGAAAGAGTTCCAGCTTGGTTTCGGTTGTTTTGCGGGCTGCAGAGCTGCCCTGGCAATGTGAAATCACAAGTAAAAACTCTACAAGTGATTATTCTTAACAAGAGTCTAGATTTTTTCTTAAATCTTTCCTGGGAATTTCAGAACCCTCAGATACAGTCATGCGTTGCTTAAAGAGGGATATATTTTGAGAAATGTGTTGTTAGGCAATTTCATCATTTTGTGACCCATCAAAGAATGTACTTACACAAACGTGAATAGTATAGGTCAATAGCTCAACATGGCCTCTTGATGTAATCAAGAGGCATAGTAAACATGAGATGTGTAAAGCTGCTGCTGTCATTAACAGGGCATAATGTTTTAGAGTAGTATGTTCTGAAATAGAGTATGTTCATGATAGAGTATAGGATAGTAAATAAAAAGACCAGTAGTATACTTGTTTATTAAAATAATAATTATTACAAATGTCATGCGCTGTATATAATTGTATGTGCTGTATACTTTTATATGTTTCAATCATCACTATATTATCTGATGTATACTTTTAATGCTATAAGTTGGCAACACAGTAGGTTTTACCCAGCATTACTATAAACACATGAATAATACTTTCAGTAATTTTAATCATACGGGACTACCATTATTATGCAGTCTGTGGTTGATGAAATGTCATTATTCTGTGCTTTGCAGGTGATTTTTGACAGAATTTTTTTTATCAGGTTTTGGTTTTTTTGTTTGTTTTTGCTCTTATGGAGTGGCAAATGTTTGAAGGTCCTTACTCTGCCATTTTTACTGACCTTTTAAATCCATTTCCTCTTGAGTAGGCTTTGGTAGTTTCTGTATTTCAAGGAATTTGTCCATTTTTTCTAAGTTGTTGAATTTATGGGCATAAAATTCTTATTTTCTTCCCACAATTCACTAACTCATTTGGCAACAGGTTTTGTTTTCACTTGAAATATTTTCCTTTTCCTCATATGTAGTAAAATGTTCTAAGATGATCTCTTCTTTATGATATCACACATTCTTTCTTGTTCAGTGTGTTTGCCTTTCAGTTAGAAACCTGTCTTCAAAGATAAATGTCCAGCCTATAGGGTTGCTTCAGAATTGACTGAGATTAATTCGTATGTATTTGTGTGTGTGTGTGTGTGTGTGTGTGTTTGATGAGCCCAAATTCTAGGTTCATAATATAAGTAATGAAAATCTGGGGGAAAAACTTTGAAGTTATTTTTTATGACTATTTTAAAGTGTTTCTTTAAAAATTTTGTTTTCATTAATTTTATTGGTACATTTTAGGTGTACAGTATCCTGACATTCAGTATTGGGAATTTATACCTTTACATAATATATCTTGGTTCTTATTTTTTTCCCCATCCCCTGTCCTCTATTCAACCCCTCCACCCCTCCCTATTTACAAAACTTTGTTTCCATTTTTTTCCTTTTCTCATATTTATTCCTTTCCCTTCTTTCCTTTTCCCTACCCCTTCCACTTCCCTTTCCCCTTTAGACCTTTTCTTCCTATTTCACATTTATCTATTATACATTTTGATTCTTATTTACACTTTCAGTTTCTCACACCAGAGAAACTATTCGGTATTTACACATGTGTGTCTTATTTATTTCACATAAGAGTATGGCCTCAATGTGCATCCATTTAGCTATAAATATCTCTAATTTCTCATTCTTTATGGCTGAGTAGTATTCCATTTTATAAAAAAACCCACATTTTCTTTATCCAGCCTCCAGTGTGCTTCTTAAAATTAATATAATATCTTTAAATGTCAGTAATAAATAGAGTAGAATCAATTTAGAAAATTAGTATTTTGCTTCACAGTATACATTTTTGTCTTGTCTTTCAATTACAAATCTTATGGGTTTTATTTTTATCTTTTAGGCAATCCTTTGTCACAGGATATTCTCAACTTATACCAGGACCCAGATGGAACCCGAAAGCTACTGAATTTCATGCTTGACAATCTTGCAGGTAACTAGTAATGACCAAGTAGTAAACTCTACAGATACTATTATTGACCACTATATCACAAGTTGCTTTTATAACTGCTTATGTTTGGCATTTTTGCTTTTAGTATACCCCATGATAGCAGAGCATTCTTTTCATATACTGATTGTTTTCTGTTTATTAAACAATATATTAGGACTTTTCATTATATTATCTTGTTTAGTTTTTCTAAGAACCTAAGTTGTACAGATTTGTACTTATATTTCACAGATGCGAATTTAGAGATTCACAGATTATTCATTTACATACAGCTAGTTGATGTTGGAGCTATGAATCTAAGATTGTCTTGCTCCTGGTCACAAAGATGTATAGTTATTAGCTGTTTGAATTTGGTGCAGATTATTTGGAACCTATACACTTTATACTTTTTTAAAAAAACAAATGAAATGACTATAGACACTAGATGTAGGGTTGTTTAACTTAAAGTTTTTCCACTTTTTGTGTGAAAGCACAACCATGCAACCATTCTGTTTTTCATTTTCAGTACAGTATTTGGTAAGTATATGAGTAGTCAACACTTTATTTTAAATAGACTTTTTGTTAAATGATTTTGTTTGCTTGTAGGCTAATAGACTGGACTAGGCTATGGTGTTTGGTAGGTTAGAGGTACTAAATGCATTTTTGACTTAGGGTATTTGCAGCTTAATGATAACCAGTACATAACACCAATGTAAATCAAGAAGCATGTGAAGTTTGATTCATTCATTGTGCATTTGTGGAAATTTTGCAAGCATGATTTTATATTAACCCAAGAGTTATGAGACTGAAATGGTTGTGTTCCAAATGCAAGTTGGGTATTAAATATTTTACTTAAATATATTTTTTGTTATTGTTGCTTTGGCTTTCAAAATATATGTAAAAGTGTGGAGATACTGCAGATATTTTTGTTGGTGTAATGTCTTTAAGATACAGTATTTTGAAAGAGCTTGGCTTCATGCTTCTATAAAGGGGCCCTTGTCACAATGTTTTGGCTATACTCTTTGAATTTCTCTCTGTCATGAAAGAGACCTTTCCTCTCATACAAGAAAAGTAAGATTTACAACAAGGAAAAAACATTTAATATCATCTAAAATGTTTTTGGCTAAAAGACTTAAAGTTGATTGATAAAAGAGAAATTAGTAAATTTATTACAGAGATCTTTTAGTAAAGAAATGGGAATATATGAAAGTTTAATCTACACATAATATGTGCATGCTATTTCCAGTTTGCATTAAAATATCTCTCTTGTTTGTATAGATATAGCCATTTAAATTGAGTGTGCAAGTAAGATATGTGTTTTAGATATAAGCTCTTTAGTGGTATGTATGTTGCATATCTTTTCCTATGCTATTTTTCTTGTGCTTGTCTTTTGATGAAAAGAACTTTTACTACAACTTAATGATGTCCTTCCTCTTTAAGAATTTTTTCATACCACATTAATGTGTCCTATATTATTACATAGAAATAGCACCATAAACTTACTAGAATTGATCTTTGTGTAAAGTAAGAGCTAAATTTAATTTTAATGACTTTTCCATATACATATAGTATTGATCCTGAGTCATTTATTGATGAGACCAGTTTTGGTGGTACTGGGGATTGAACCCGGTGAGTGCTGAACTACATTTCTGGCCCTTAGTTTGATCTCAAACTTGTGATTTTCCTAAGCCTCCTGAGTAGTTGGGTTTACAGACATGCATCACCATGCCTGTTTTTCAGTTCTTTGCCATAAATCAAGTGTCACTATATGGGTGGGTCTTTTTCTGAGTTCTCTGTTCTCTTCCATTAGTTTTTTTTCTCTCTCTTTTTTTTTAAAAATTTGGGACAGATTTTCACTGAGTTGCCCGTGTTGGCCTCAAACTTGCAATCCTCCTTCTTCACCTCCCCAGTTGCTGGGGTCATAAGAGTGTGCCACAACACCTGGTTTCTGCTAGTCTTTTGGGAAATGTAACAGTCTTTAATTATGATAGCTCTGTAAAACTTGAGCTCCTGTAGAGTAAATCTTCTCCTTTGATATGATTGCAACTAATCTTGGAAAGTTTTGTCCAAGTGATTTCTTTTACCTTGTATTTTTATTAAATTTTGAGAATTAAGTTTTCAAATCTCTCCTCTCTCCAAATAGATTGCATTGGACGAAATGACATGTATACAACATTGAGCCTGGTTCTGCCATTTATTTTGCAGTCTGTAGTTTCATTTAAGTTTTTGAACTCCCTATGTGTAGCCCAAGCTGTCCTCAACTCAGATCAATCTTCCTGCCTCCTAAGTGCTGGGGTTATAGGTGTGTGCCACCACTCCCGGCTCAGCTAAGAGAATTTTTTTTTTTTTTTTTGGTACTGGGGATCGAACTCAGGACCTTGTGCTTGCGAGGCCGGTGGCAGAACCACTGAGCTAAATCCCCAGCCCATAGGAGAACTTTTGAATGAGTAGGTGTTGAATTTTATTAAATGCCTGTTCTCTACTGAGCATATAATTATATAAGCATATAATTTTATCCTGATATAACTGTATTGACTTTTTTTTAATGTGTTATATCACCTTTTATTCCTGGAATAAAACTAAATAGGTTGTAGTATATTATAAACTTTTTTATATATCCCTAGGGTTACATTAGTAATATTATACTTAGGATTGTTTGTATTTGTAAGTATGAGTCAGATTGGCTAGTAATTTCCTTTCTTCATTTTTCTTGTCAAGCTTTAATGTTAAAGCTATACTGGCTTCATAAAATTAGTTGAGAATTCTGTTATTTGGAAGAGTTTAAGATAAGTGCTTTTTCTTTCTTATATATCTCAGAGACTATATCTGGCCCTGAGGTTTCATTATAGGAAGTTTTTAATTACTGATTTAATTTCTTTAACTGTAGGAGTAGTCTCATTCTCATTTTATCAGTTTCTGAAAGTTGTGTTGTCTGGAAATTTGCACATTTTATCTAAATCTTCAAATTTATTGATATAAAGTTTAAACGTTCAAGGGAAATTTAGTGAAGTCACTTTTTCATTTGAGATATTAATTTATTTGTGTTGCCTCTGTACCTCATAGAAAGTCATGCCCTCAGGTATTCATTAATATTTTCTTTCAAAACAAAAAAGGAACCAACTTTTGGCTTCATTGGTTCTCTTTATTATAGTGTCATTTTCAGTACCATTAATAATAATAATCTTTATTCTGCTTTCTTTAGGGTTTATTTGCTATTTTTCTAACTTAATATGAAATCTAAATTGTCACTTTTCTCCAAAATATTCATTTATAAACCTGTCCCTAAACATGGTCTTTAGGGCCGGGGATTTAGCTCAGTGACACTGTGCCTGGATTGCAAGCGCAAGGTCCTGAGTTCTATCCCTGGTACCGGAAAAAACATAAAACATGGCTTTTAGCTATACTCTATAGTTTTAATTTGTAGTCTTATCATCATGTAGTTCAGCATATTTTCTAATAGTCTTTATCATTTCTTTTTTGTCCTATGAATTATGTAGAAGTTTATTTCTTTATTTTCAGAGGAATTCTAGTTTTCTTTGTCAAAGATTTCTAGCTTAGTTTCAGAGTGATTGTGAACTTTGATTGATTTATATTTTTAAAATGTGTTACTCAGCACATTCTTACTTTTTGTAAATGTTAAACATGTACTTGAAAAGAATATGCCTTCTATAGTTGTGTAATAGAGATAGGGAATTCTGCGTATACCAGCGTTTTGTCAGTTACATTATTTGAATGTATTTTAGTATATTTAATGGTTACTTTGATTTTTACTCATTACTTGAGGACCTATATTAATATCTCCCCTTTTTCATTATATACTTGCTTCTTCTGTTTTTTCAGCCTTTTAATTATAAATGTTAAGGGTGTATTTTCATGTGTTCCTGGTTATTAAAACCTTTTGTCATTGCATTGCTCTTTTCTTTAAAATTTATTTTGATACTAGTATAACTAAATGGTGGTAGTGGGGAAGCTACATGAGTTCCCCCTTGCTTTGAATTTGCATTGTGTCTTTTCTGTTCTGTTGTTTTTAATTAATTTATTTTTATATCTTTTTATTTCCTTCCTCTGCTTGGTTTAGTTTATTCTTTCTCTAATTTGAAGTAGGAATTCATTTTTTTGAGATTTTTTCCATCCATCCATCCATCCATCCATCCATGCATGCATGGAGCTCTTTCCTCTATTTATTCATTTATTTATTTACTGATTAATTGTTTTGGGGATTGGACCCAGGGCCTTTGCATTGAATTACATCCTCAGACATTTTTATTTTGAGTAAGAGTCTTGCTCAGTCACTAAGTAGCTCAGGCTGGGGTTGAACTTCTGATCTTCTGGTCTCACCCTCCCAGAGTGCAGGATTTATAAGCTTGCACCACCACACTTGGCTTTATCTTCTTTATTGTAATCATATCAGATTATAAATTCCCCTCTCCATACTTCTTTAGATGCACCTCACAAGTTTTGGGTTTTTTTTTTCTCATTTTCATTCAGTTCAGTGTATTTTTTTTTCTTTGTGACTTCCACTTTGACCAGTAGATTATTTAGATGTATATTATGTAATTTACAAGGTTTGTAAACTTTTCCTGTTGTCTTTCTCTTCATTTCTTGTTTGATTTTAGTTTGGGACCAGTTAGAAAGCAAATTTTGCATTATTTCATTTATTTTAAAACAGTTCGTATTATGATTTAGTATATTGTTTGACTTGGAGAATGTTCTTTGGGCTCTTGAAAAACATGTATTTTCTCCAGTTGTGGGGTCAAATAACCTGTACATATAAATTAGATGATACAGTTGATGTTCAGTTCTGTATCTTTTCTAATTTCTTACCTAGTTGTCTTATCTGGTCGTATTGGGGTATTGAAAACCCCAAATATAGTTGTGTATTTATTTCTCTTTGAGTTTTGTTATATTTTATTTGAGGTATTTTGAAGCTCTATTAATTGGTACATACGTACTGAGGATTGCTATGTTTTTGTGGATTGATAATTTCTATCATTATGTAATGATAT